TGGCAGAAATAGTCAATAGTACATGCACTTTGAACAAAAACTACACCAAGCGAATATCAAACATGGGACCGACCTCCAGGTATTGCATACAGGTTGATTATTCCCAGATGCTATCAACTATTATTTTCAAACTATGTATTATGTGAAAATACCTCACTCACACCTCCCACGCTGCTGCAACCATGAATTGACAGGGCGCTATGCACGATCATTCCACAGTGTTGATGTTATTTTCTCAAGGGTTTTGTATGATTTTTTTTTCCTTTGTTTACTGAATGGCGCCGGTATACCTCGTCACTTCTACCTTTTTCAGAAGACACAGTCTGTTATTGCAGCCCCTTTGATAATCAGTCACATTGTTTGACTGTCCCCAACCCCCGACTACCTCTGCAAATCTTGATTACATGCAATGATAGTATTAATAAAAGAGAGAATAATAACTGTTTGAATTGTAACAAACTGCCTCTCTTGGCCATGCTAATCTTAGCTGTGGCATTGTTCTGTGTACTGGGAGCCCACAGGCAGGCTAATAATTCAACCCCCTCCAAGTTTTTTGTCTGTGGCTGACTGGCTGGCTAGATAATAGCACCGTGTCCATCAAGGACATCCTGTGTTTGTGTCCAGGAGAATGGGGGGCTCTTGTTGGGGAAACAGTTTAATCTGACCTTTCAATCTTTGTCCTCTATCAACTGTAACGTTACAAAACACATTTGGTGCATAGGCAGACATAACTTGCACACAGGCCTACAAATACCATGTATGACATTACACATTTTGTCCTTTGACACAAAGCAGAATAAGTTAAAGCAGGGGATATACTCTGTGTCAATATATTCCAAATCATATTCATCAATATCCCCAGAAAGAAAGGTTTTCACAGGTTCCAATGTAAAAACCTCTGATATTGGAGTGTCTCTCAGCTGCGATCCTCCCAATGATCCAAACACAATGCCACCTCTAATTCAGTCTCATGACGGAATCACCTCACTCTCCCTCCGCCCGTTCTCAGACTGCGAATAAACACGTCGAGACGGAGTGTCTGTCCCTGTGTCTCTCCAGTCCTGTATTCACTAAAAAAGGAAGGATGTAAGCTGTTTTTGGCAAATAAACTCCTACATAACTGACCCCCTTTGTTCACAAGCTTCTAGGAGAAGGGAAGCAGCTATCAGTTGGGGGTATCTCAGACTATATTGTACAGCTCCAATTGGGGCTCTTGAATGCCTCGTCTGGCCAGTTTGTTGGCCAGCAAGAGTAGCTTCAGTAGAAAAAGGTAAGGGAACAAAGGCTGAAGCTGGAGGTGAGGGTGTTTGGAGGGGGGGAGTGGAGGAATGGCACTTGAGCAGTTGTGAATGTGTTATAGGTCATGGAGGTGACTCCCCTTTAGCACAAACAACAAGGCTAACCGCTGATAAACTGCTTCCTCAAAGCTTCCGTTCTCTGTCTCTTTCCTTCGCTCCCTGATTTTTCTAAAATTGTCTTTGTTTTCCTTGCTTTCTTTTCTCTTTTTAACACACATGCACACACACACACACACACACACACACACACACACACACACACACACACACACACACACACACACACACACACACACACACACACACACACACACACACACACACACATAAATCAACCGGTTGCTTTTCTTAAGGTGTGATCAAAATAAATAGAGTTCTGTATTAATAGAACTGCTACTTTGAGCTAGAAAAGGTTTCTAATTAAATTGCTAATACACTAAGAAAAACTGTTTTAACCATTGCTCTATTTTAAGAAGTAAATGTGATCTCCTGATTCGTATCAAAATATGTCCTTTTTTGTCTCCCCATGCTCTTCGCCCTCAGATGTCAGCCATGGAGAACATGACAGAAAAGCTGGAAAGCTTTGGCGCTCTAAAACTGGATGCGCCGCCCAATTCCCTGCAACATTCAGCTCATCCACTGTTCAACTTCCGCTCACCACCACCTTCACTCTCAGATGCCATCCTTCGCAAGGGCAAGGAGCGCTATGCCTGCAGGTTAGTGCCGTGTGGTGCAGCATGTTATTTCGAGTGTTGGTCAGATGTTTGCAACATGAAACTGCATTCTACAAGATTAAATGAAGCACATCCATCCTTCTTTTTCTCTATTTCCTTCTCCCCTCCTTTCTGTTTTTTCTATACTCCAGGTACTGTGGGAAAATCTTCCCTCGTTCGGCAAACCTTACCAGACACTTGCGGACACACACAGGGGAGCAACCTTACAGGTATTCTATTGTAGTCCAGTCTAGTTTTTAATCTTTGTGAAAGCCTCTTTGCTCCCACAGACACTCTCACTGATGTGCAGTATTTTCCTTTGTCTGTGGCTGAAGGGCGGTCTCTGGTCACTGTGCCACGCTGCCTCTCCCATAACCTACATTCACATCCTTCTGTTCTCTTTGGCAGGTGTAAATACTGTGACCGCTCATTCAGCATCTCATCCAATCTTCAACGCCATGTTCGCAACATCCATAACAAGGAGAAACCCTTCAAGTGTCACCTGTGCAACCGTTGCTTTGGACAGCAAACCAACCTTGACCGCCATCTCAAGAAGCATGAGCATGAGAACATTCCTGGTCAGTGTGCGACAACTGCAGTGCAGTTATTAAATAGGGATCTGGTATCTATATGGAAGTGAGTCGTGCTTCACACAAATTCAAAATGAAACAACATGCAAACTAAATTTCTCAAATATAAAAGGATGCCATTGTTTGGCATGCAAAGAAGAGGCAATTCATGAACAAGCAGTGACCAGATGTTTGGTTTCCTGATGTATTCTTGACTAAAACAGATGAATAATTCTCAGTGTAAATAAATTAAACAGTAGCATCTGTAAAAATCACTCAGTATTAATTGCAAAAACACAGAGTGAGAAAACATTAACTGGTTCCCACTGCAAAATGTATAATTTATTTTATATTGTTAACCAGACAGTTACAGTATGTACTACACTCCAGCAATATCTTTAACTTAAACATAAGCACAGCTGTTCTTGTAGTTTGTACATATCACCATCCATTCCCTTAAACACCACTGAGATGACTCCAAGAGCGATGTTATAAAATCAGTAAGAAATTGAATAAAATCAAAAGTATTTCAAGGAAAAATATTTTTAAAAACCTTGAAATGCTACAGAAATACGAGGTCTAAAGTAAGGCCGGGCTAACAGTGGATGACTGTGGTTAAACTGGGCATCTGCTGTGTGTGCCTGAATGTTTAGCTGGGTCCTGCCAGTAACAAACATATTTGATCATGTCCAGATATATAAAGAGGGACTGGCCAGTGCTGTCTCACCAGCAAGACAACAGGTGGCAATCTAATGGAACATCTTCTGATATTGCAAAAGTCAAACATGTTTTTATTGAAAATAATAGGAAGTAATTAATGCATTTCACTTCTGGATAGTGTCACATATAATTTTAGTGTCCCACTTTATCCTTTAAACAAAATTCCAGAAGCATTTCCCATTTGTCAAAATATGCTCAACCCAGTTTAACAAAATTTAAACAAATAACATTGACAATCTCAGCTTTACAGTGTATTAAAATGTGAATCATGTGTGTAATAACCCTCATAATGCTTTAGCATTTTCCGTAAAGTCTTCTATTATGTATGTCTGATGATCATCAAACTAATCATCCTTCCATGTTTGGTTGTGTGTATTTATGTGTGGCTGGTGTGCATGTCCATGTGTGTTTATGGATGTGGATGTGAATGTCTGCATGCTTTCCCCAACAGTGAGCCAACAGTCTGGGATGCTGTCCAACCTAGGAACCACCATCTCCTCGCCAAACTCCGAGCCAGACAATCATGCACTTTTAGACGAGAAGGAGGACTCGTACTTCTCAGAAATCCGCAATTTTATTTCCAACAGTGAGATGAACCAGGCCTCCAGCTCCACGGATAAAAGGTAAAAACACTTGCACAGACCAGTGATTATATTTGATCCAGAAGCTAAATCAACCCGCAATCCTAACTCCAAAGTAAGAGCACTCAAATTACCTCTTTGATCCTCTTATCTTTATCTCAGGTATCTAGTCCTAAGGTATGGAAATGCAGGAAGATACAGCTGAAAGCAGCGATTGCTGAACAGTAGTTCTTTAGTCCTTTCCTCCAACAGTCTACATGTTACTACTTGGTGTATAGTGCTCTCTAGTGGCTTGAAGATGCTCAGCAATAGTCACCAACGTCACAGCTGTGACCCTGTTTTTTACAGTAGCTGCAGTAGTAATAAGGAAAACTTTTAAAAGCCACTGCTAAGTAAACTGTTTTTATCAAAACTACTTTTCTAAGTTCTGTCTCCAGGCGGGTTGCCACCATCGACAGATTTTTCCCTTGTGCAACTGTGCGTCACCACTCATACATTGCATAGTTGGACAAAGGTCTGTTTCAACAACAGAAAATATTTAGGACTTTGTTTGCAAGCTGTTTTTTTTAATAGATCCCCCATTATTAACATAACTGAGAAACTTTATTAGAGCTTATTTATGCCTGCTGAAAGCCTCTGTAGTTGTTAAGGATAAGGATAATCACCTTTATTGGCCAAGTATGTTACACACAAGGAATTTGTTTCCGGTACAGAACCGAGGCAGCCATCTGCGGCGCCAACTCAACCGATGGCTCTAACCATTAAATTACTCTGCTTAGCAGTACCCTGGCAGGAGTGATCATCCTGATGAACTTGTGACTGATCTGTTTTAAAACTAACAGCCCCTCTGATCAGTAGAGGAGAAAGTCAGCTTCTTGCCTCCTGAACTGCTTTCAGTGTTACCAGCTCAGTTGGTTTTAGACAAGAAGAGAATATTGGAAAGGAAAAGGAGGTTGGAGTGTTGGTTATACCTTTTTCTCATTCTTGATGTCAAATCCTTTCTGGTAGCCTCACTTTCTGCCCGTCTCCTCCTCCTTTTGCCCCCCCTCCGTCTTCTCAACATGCATTATGGCCAGCAGACCCGATGGCAATTTAACCCGTCTGCCATCTGGGATCAATGCTGAGTCTCATCCACAACAAACTGCCCTGACATTTTAATATCTGCAATTCAAACTGTTAGGCTTTCTGTCTTCCCTCAAGACAGCCCACTGTTTATTCTCCCTCAGAGTGACTGAACACAAACACACATTCATGGACGACTATCTGTAATTGCTTTTATTCGCCCTTGTAACATAGTTTAACATAGTTCTCCCCCCTTAAAACTCCTCTTTTAGCCTTAAAGCTACTCTTGTTTTCACGTAAAGACTTTAACTAGATTCCAAGCTGGGGACCTCACAAAAACTGAGCCAGCACCACTGCTCTGAGGGTGTGAAGTTTCAAACACAAACAGTTAAGGGGTTTAGATGTAAATGGATATTTCCAGGTCATAATTAGGGCTGGAACAATGACCCAGACCATGAGTTCTATGGTTTGGATAAAACTACAGTTGGAGCTGGTTCTTCGTCTGGGAGTGGTTTTCAGTGGCTGACAGTTTGGACCCTGAGGGTGACTTGGGCTGAGGCATTTATCTAGGGGATTCACTGATGATGGAGCTCTTCCTCCATCCACCCGCTATACCCATGCCCCCAGCCCACTAACACAAACACCCGACTGATGTGTTTAGACTAAATGACAAAACCCAGGGCCCCCTATGTCAGAGGTAGGCTTCTTTGTCTGTACACAGGCATGGACTTTTTCGCCGCCAACCAGTTCTGCAATTTGATTATGGTGATATTTAATCTAGATTGAAAAAGGAGACCCCCCTCACTCCTCTCGCATTTACCCACCCACTATGTAAGTGACCCAGTCTTGTCCCTGTGTAGCCCTTCCCAGAGGTAATCCTGTCTGATTTGATAAATGTCCACTGTGTGGCAAAAAATGGAAGGGGTAAATTTGCCTTCCCAAAGGAAATGATATCATGAGCCATGACATCGTGGTCTAGGGGTGATGGAGGGGGGAACTGAGGTGCTGGCTGGAAAATGTACAGATGGCAGGTCGTAATGGTGGTGTGCTGATAGCCTGTTTGCAGATCCGCCGTTGTCTTCTTTCAGTCCCACAAAGTATGTTCCACCATTATAGAGTGTAGATGAACCAATGTGAAGCAGGCCATCTCCTGCTTCATTTCTGAGAAGCTGACCAATTAATCATGTCTGGGCCGTTTGAAAAGCGCTCCGGGCTCACTGTCAACACCCATGTTGTTTGTGTAGACACTGGAGTTGGACTGTGCATGCCATCAACAGAGTGTTTTTGTTTCTCTCTCTGGTTATGATGAGTCATGTCTGTAGATGGCCAGGAAATGGTAATAACAACCCAGCTCCAGACTCCAAACACCCCAGAGAACAAACTCAAACAAGTTCTTTTTGACCATTGTTGTTAACCAATAAAAAGGGCATTTGGCAATTCAAAAAAGCAAATAAGATCAAGGGACTCAGGACAGAGTATGCTAAAAACAGCTATGTTTAAGGTCACTGCAGTAGCACAGACATATCCTCCTGTTTAGTTCCCCCATGCTCCTCCTCTTGCTCTAAAACCTGGCTACACTACCCATGTTTCAGAGTTGTAGCTTTTTTTCCCTGAGGCCCCTCCTGATTGGCTAGGTAGATTGCTCACACTCATTTCCTCTTCTTCTAGACAGCTGGCTTTTGGTTTTTGTCTTTCACAATTCGGGATTTAAAATTTTTTGCCTTTTTCCCTTTTGTAAGTGTTTAAGATTTTTTCGCCACAAGGAACACGCAGTGCCCCAGCCTGGAGAGAGACAACTTTAATGAAACTAATACAGCAGAAGAAAGGTAGTGGATTTGGTTACCACCATTACTAACACTTCCTCCCTACTTTGACCTTTGTCCCTCTGCAGATCAGACCAGGCTGAGGAGGAGCACCCACCCAGTCACAGTTTGTCCAACTCCAAGCTAGGGCTCCAGGGGCTGGACGAAGAGGAAGAGGAAGTGGAGGGTGATGATGAGGAGGAGGAGGAAGGCAGCCTGACAGAAAAGTCTCACGATGAGGCACCTGAGTCCCCGTCTCCCATCACTACAGGAGTGTATGAAGAGGATGAAGAGGAAGAAGAGACAGAGTCAAATCCATTAGCTATGAGCTATGAACACACTCGCAGGTACTCATCTGGTTAATTACACAAAAACACACATGACAGGACACTCTTTACCTCAATCTACACTTAAAGGAATAGTTTGGGATTTTTCATATTGCTGTTAAAACAATATCGATGTGTCCCAGTGTATGTGAAAATAGGTCTTAGTCGTTGTCACTTAGCCCTGAATGTTTCCACCCAGAACGTGACTATGCTGCAAAAAATGAGGGACAAAATTCACAGCCCTCCTTATGTGAAAAAAATGCACAGCAAAGTTCATCTGAAGCTCAAATGCAGCTTCAGCTGTCCCACTAAGCTAATTCAAGGTGATATATTTCAAAGCATACTTACATTTCCAAAACATAAGAAACACTGTTTTTAAGATTTCCACGTTATTTATGTAATTCTGTCAGTATATAAAATAGTACAAAGCAAAAATGAACTGTAATAGCTAATTCAGCATAATTAATCCTCCAAAGTGTAAACAGGCTAAAACCGGCGCCCACAGTAACTTTATCTATGGCAACATTTTACTTACTGTTTCTTGTAAAAGTATTATTTATTCACATGATTGAACTTTTAATGTTTAATGTTACTTTTTCCAAAATACTATGCAAAACATTTTAGGAAAACATTATATTTAAGCTTATGTTCATTATATTGTAAATATCCCAATAGTTTATAGGATCTAGGATATATGATCCAGAGAGTTAAATCAGGCAGCCTATAATGCCTCTGTCTTCTTTTAGCAAACATAACCTAGCCTATTACAAGATCCTGATCCCCCAATCTTGTAATTATAACAAAGCATTAAACATTAATAGTCATCACTTTTGTGAACAGATGTGAACTTTGAAAAGAAACAGGAAGTAGGCTATATTCTACGTCAGGTTGTCATGGATTAAAAGGTTTTGTACTTGTATAGTGCTTTTCTATGCATTGCAGAACACTCAAAGCACTTTCACACTATTTGCCCATTCAACCTTTCGCATACACATATCACTGGGAGCAATTTGGGGTTCAGTGTTTTGCTCAAGGACACTTCAACATGCCGGGAATCAAACCGCCAACATTCTAGTTAGGGGACAACCCGCTCTATGTCCTGAGCCACAGCTGCCCACAAATAGTGTCACAATCAAGCAGCAACCTATGAGGCTGAGAAATGAAACCAATGAGTGCCAAAACCTGCACTTCCTATTTGAGGCTGGCTCCAAAAGGGAGTCGATCCCCATGGTCTCCCATGTTAAATTGCCCAACTTTACAGCAGAAATACACTTGTACACCCTGCTACATAAACGGTTTAGCTAATTTCTCCTTCTATGTGAACTCTACATGGGGTGAATTCACTCATTTAAATTATATTGAAACTAAAAGTTACACCTAATTAAGGATGTTGACTGCTTTGAGTGACAGGTGGGAGTGTCCCGATGTAGGTGGCTAGCTGCTAGCTGTCTAGAGAGCTTTCACACTCCGCCTCTTTACCCATTTATGGATTACACCCGCACATGCGGAGTGAAGCATTACCAATATGGTGACAGTCAGACTTTAGAGCTTCAAAACCGCTATTCAGAAAACCAATGGGTGACGTCATGGTGGGTTTTTCCAGTTTTTATATACAGTCAGTGGTTACAGTGTGGGCACTGTTTTTAGCCTAGCATATATTTATTTACATTTTGAAATACTAAGCACTCTGAATCAGCTATTAGTAGTTCATTTGGTATGTAAGCTACTGTTGGATGTGCTGTCAGAAATACATGGATAGCCTACTGAAGAAATCTTAAAAACCCAATGTTTCTCAAGCAGGTTCTGAAGCTTTCCAACTCTTGCTCAGTACCTGTAGCAAGTTAGACTGTAGGCAGCAATTTTTAAGCTTGTTTGTAGCCTATATTTGTTTTAGAAATCTAAGTGTGCAAAATTAGCTAATAACAGTTCACTTTGCTATGCACTGTTGGATATACTGATAAATATCACTGCAAAAGTACTGTGAAACCTTTTGAAGAATGTAGTTAGGGGTCATAAAAGTTGACCCCTTTGATCTAGGCAGAAGTGAAGTGTTAAAAGTAGGCAGGGTTTATGGGTGGTGACGTCAGGGCCATAAATCACTACTTCACACCTCACTTTGACAGATGGAGCTCTTTATAGCTCTCTAACATGATATATGGATCGAACATGTACATTCCCTTCACAAACACCTAAAAGAAAAACAAGCCAGTGTTTCACTTTAGCTAATGTTACATCAGCTTCTGCTCCTACTTTTCTCTCCTTTTCCTTCTCCCAACTTTTTCCTTTGACCTGTCTTTCACTTTTATTAATCATACCTTTCCTTGTCTTTTCTCTTCATATCTTCTTTCACCCAAATTTCCTTCTTTAATTTTCTTTACCCTCTACATGGCATTAATGGTCCATCTATCATCTTTTTACCCATCCATCACCATCCATCCACCAACCAAACCATCCACATTACCTTATTTTTGCCACCCATCCATCCATCTCTCGGTGTGCAGGTGTATAGAGGAGGAGGGCTCTCTCTTGGACCTGGAAGGTCTTCCCAGCTTTCCTAAGAGCCTGGATGGGTTACGTAAAGCAGCCAGTGATGAGCAACCCTTTGATGTTAAAGACATATTTAACACTTCACTAGAGTCAGAGGCATTGAAAGAAACGTTGTACAGGCAGGCTAAAACCCAGGTATGTGTCTGGCTTTTGGATGTCCACTAAAAAAGGGAGGGACAAAACACATGTTCTAATAAGACAGGAGGAGAGACTAAATGGTGTCCTGTGGATAGAAAGATAAGGGATGAGATGGAGCTTTTAATATTTTCAGGAGCTGGATAAAAGTAAAGATTGTAATCCAGTTAACAGCAGGTGAACCTGTAGCTAAACAGCACCTGTTGTCCTGCTCCCTCGTGTCTTTTCCTGTCACTTTTCTACAATCTTCAGTCATAAACAGTCTAATGAAACATCAATGCTATGTATAGTGTGATGAAATTAAAGGATAATTACAGTTTATCCTAACTTGGGCTCTGGGAAAATAGCAACAGGAGGAAGTCAATTGAGCAAGAAACACAAGAAGTATGAAAATGTTATTACCAAATAGAAATGACAAAGTCAACCCAAGTTGAAATAAACCAAAATTGTCCTTGAATGTCTTGACAGGTCATGGGATAAGTAGAGAAAAGTGACTAAAAACAAATGTTTGAAAACGTACCCATCTTCTCTCGCAGGCTTATGCAATGATGCTGTCTCTCTCGGAGAACAACCCTTTGCACGTGCCCTCCCAGAACTCTCTGGATGCTTGGCTGAGCATGGGAGGTGGACCGTCTGAGACGAGCAGCTTTCACCCACTCAACCACATCTAGATGAGAGCGAGGGAGAGAAGGTGGGAGGATGAACTGGAGGACCATTAGTATTGCAAATGGATAGAAAAAAGTGAGAAGACATAGAGGCCCAGAGAAGAATTCAGTGTCACATTCATTCAAGATAGAAAGAATGTGTGTGTGTGCACGCACGTGGGTGTGTGTCAGTGAGAGCGACTGTCCCCAGTTGAGGGGTCTCGCAAAGACTCTGTCAAAGAGAAAGCACTGCTAAGCTCCTGTTGATGTGAAGGACATAAATGCTTCTCAACAGCATTTGAAAGTCTGCATTACTCTGATCCTCCCCCAAGTCCACAAGGCTCACTCCAGCACCACAGAGACCCTGCATAAGGCTCTGATAAAGACACTTAATGACTAGTATGTCTCTAAAGTCTGTGTACACCACCTACTTCAAGCACTGCAGCAACAGCACTGCATTAGCACTGCATGTCCACAAGGTGGTGCCGTTTTACCAGGAACATAGTGGATGTGCACTATGATTTCCAGGTTTCCCCCATCAATCATGGGTGACCCATTTACTGATCTCATGTCAGTTTTAACTGCAGAATCTACAACAGCACCACATTAAATGTTACTTGAGGAAATGACAGTTCCAGTAGACTGTTGATTTTTTTTAATGATTACAGAGGATGATGTTCAGTGACTAAATGTGCACAGCAATTGGTGATTTTAATCTATCTGAGACACTAGCTTTTTAAAATTGTTACCCTGTTTGATCTTGCTGAAAATGAATTTAAATCAATCAAAAAAAATGAGGAAACTTTTTTTCTGCTTGTTTTTCCATCATCATTTTTACTTTCTTTCCTCTTAGATACCACAGTATTGCTTCTTTGTAGGCACCACAATGCTAAATTGTTAATATAATTATTTTAGAGAAGGACCAAAATTGTATGATACTGTCATATGATGTACAAAATAACCTAGATGTTCATAGTATGAGTGGTATGTGCCAAATAACCCATAGTAAAGGTTTTGTTCTCTGACAATCATTTCATTTCCAAGGGGCTTGCATTTGCTGTGCTGTCATAGATTTTTTTTTCTTATTACACTCTTATATATTTGATTTCAGACATGTGTGTATGTATTTATTTTTGGTTGTTTTGTCATGACTGGAGGAGTGAAAATGAAAAGTCATTTTATCCCTCTTTTCTTGTTGCTGAAGGAATGAACGCCTATCAGAACATGAGGGAGATTCTGAATCTCTGGTTTTGATGCGTTAGTGTGCCAAAATGAAAGAACCCATGAAATTAACTTTTTATTTATAGTAAAAGATAGCTGTAGTTAGTTTTAGATTCTATTTGACATTGTTACATCCTGCAGTGTTTGTTTTTTTTTCCCCAGGTCAATTATTTTACCCAGTATGCTGAACATGTCTTGTTAAAATTGACTGAAATATTGGGGTTGGGTGGGCGAGGGGCGACTTAGACGGCTTTCATTATGAATGTCAGAAAAGGGCATTACATTGTCATGCTATTGAATCTGACTTGTTTTTATCACATCAAGCTCCTCTCTCGATCCTTTTTTATTAATTAGATTTACTGTATCCAACAAATACTCTTTTTAAAATTAGGTGTCCTACATTACATGGTTCAAAAGTCTTAAAAATACGGTCGCAGCTGCATGAACATCTGGTCTTTTCTGCAATGATGTAACAGACTTGCAAGTCATGCAAGAAGGAAGGCAAGGACTCATGAACTAAAAAAGACAGTTAATTAAAGCATCACTAGTATTAACATGGACATTGTCTTTCTGCTGGTCAGTCCTTCCAACACATTAAAAAATGTCTAGTTGATTCTGGATGGGGAAAACTGAAACACCTGATCACGAGTTTAACTTTACAAACATATTCCCTGTTCTCCATCCTGAAAACGCATTCCATGCGGTCTACAAGGTAGCTGTGCATGGAGGGCATGAGTCATTTACTGTAGATAACTGTAGATAGCTGCAGGAGGCAGGGGGGTGAGCATTGTTGATCATTGTTGCCTTGGTCCTTCCTGTGTACTGGGACTTTCAGAACTCTGCCTGATGCTGTATTTTCAAACTAGCACTTAAACCATATGGGTCCAAGCCATAAATTGATCAGGCTTAATTCTCTAGAACACAGATACATTTCCAGACTAGTTTCACTGTCAGTAGATGAGAAACTTGTGCTTGACATGGAGAAATAAGAAAAATCTGTAACGGAAGCACTGTAATTTTTCTTCATGACAGCAGGTGGTGGTGTGATGGTCAGACTGCCGCATCATCTCATTTTTCTAAAGACAGAAGTCATTTTTATGATTCTACTGAATGAGATTTCATTCACAAAAACACATTTGTTTCCAACATGTGGTTATAAAATATAAAGACTTGGTCACTAAGATTTTAAGTTGACTATATGTAGTAATTCATGTCATGGACTACTGTACGTATGCGCTGTGTAAAGCAAAGGAACTGAAGGCATTGAAGTATTCCATTTTGCCAACTTCAGAAAGTATTCTGGCAGATGGTCACTGAAATATATTTCAACTGAACATGGTTGCTGTTTCCCCCCCACTGTTACAGGAGAAGATAAAAATATACATATTGTTTCTTTTTAACTGTATAGTATTTTAAAGAATGAAAAACAATGGTGCATTTGTCTGAAGAAAAAAAAATCAATGAAAAATATGGGTTTAAATGGATGGTGCTTGTTTTGTTTGAATCTGAGTTGTATATCGCCTCTGTTATGTTTATTGAAAAACAAAAAAAGATATTGTGCATGACGTGTTTAGCAGTCATAATGATGTCCATTTGTGAAATGTGTATCAAATCAAAAAATTTGAAAAAAAGAAAAGAAAAAAATAAATCCGTAGATGCACTTACTGTACATGTGGTTAGGTTAGCAGGTTTGACTTCAAGTTCTTGACTGCCTTACAGATGTTTGGGCAGGTGGCTCTGAAAGACATAGAAAAGACTTGTGGGAGAAGACATCAAGAAAACAAAGGATTGTAGAATAATATTGAACAATTCTGAAATTGCAGTTCTTTTGATGCTTGTGATTATTGAAGATGTTCTTTAGAGAAATTTCATTGAAAAGATATGACTGATGTTAATTCTGTAGAATAGCAATGTATACCAAATGTAATCTTTCCAATGCTATGAAGAATTTATACATGAAATTGATATGCAATAAAACCTGTGTGCTTTTTAAATGAGACGTCCATTCTGCGTTTCTGAGCTCAAAGTACATGATTTTTTTTCCCTGGGGTGTCTAGATGAAAGGTGTGTTTGTAATTGCATATGATTTTTACTTTGTCAGTGTGTGCACGGCAGATATTTCAACTCTGGAGCCTGAGGAAAGTAGGGCCGCTGTCCCCCACCGCCCCCTAGTGCGCATGTGCAATGGCTCCCAGACCGCGGAAGCAACCCCGGAAAAAAACCACATTTGCCGTGTGTGCCAGGTGAGCAACATTTAGTGGGGAAAATAAATAGAATAAAAGAATGTATTAACGTTATGAAAAAAACGTTCTCACAATACAGACATAGAAAAATCTCCTACCTTTTCCCCTTAATACATCCGTGGGAAGAATGGTCTCCATCTTGTCATTCGGTATCCAGCTGTTATAATATATTAATGGGACGCACAAGGGTTGAATTTAGTTTATTGTTATAATCGGTCCTCTTGGTGTTTGTGTCTGGTTTGGCACCATGAAGACAAACCAGAACACTTTACTGGAGAGACACAAAGTTGTGTTGGTTCCTTACAATGCAAACCACGTGCCCAGGTAAAGTTAACATTAACACCTGATCAGTCTTGTTTGTTTAAACATGGATGGGTTTTATTTTGACTTCTACATGTAACCTGGGTAAAACATACTATGTATTATAGTTAAACATCATTAGAAAGTTCATTGCTTTTGAACAATGGTTACCACAAATAAGTTGATTTCATAAGATGAATATGGCTAAAAGCTTTATGGTGATTTATTTCATATTATTTTGAAGGTTTGAGGAAGTCCTGTGTGTAAAATATCATTATTGATCATCCATTGGTAAAGGTAGTGATACCCGAAGTGTACCTTGATGAAGAAAAAAGTTTTATGCAGACGCGAAATATGTTAGGTATGTGGACTGTATCTTAGATTGTCAATTGGAGGATCTGCTGTAAGATATTTGTCCTACATACAGTAGTTTGTAGTACATGACTGGATATTCTTTTGCAAGGAGTTGTCTTGCAGTAGTGTAGCATTAGTGTGTCTAGCCTCGTTGCATACCTAACTTGTTAGCATTCATTAGCTAAATGACTGTTGGTATCAGTAGTATAGCTAACCTGGCTTACTCCCAAGACTGGATTCATCCTTTCTGACCTGGAATTCATGGACATTATCAGCGACAGCGCTACGTGAGTGACCAGTTGGATTGTTTAACAAAGCCCGCTACTCAGGGCCTTCCCGCTACTGCTTGCACCTGGACCAGTGGGCCTGTGACTACTTG